ACATGTCTGAAAACACATAGCAAACTTGGTGGGGTTGATTCACGCCTGTCCTCCCCACACTTAGGGGACTAAAGCAGGAGGATTGCCATGAGTTCAGGGCTAGTCTGGGTTACAAAGCGAGTCCTAGGCTAGCCTAGAATTAGTTTCATTGCAAGAGCCATTCCCGAAAACTTCAAAACAAAAGTAGGCACTAAAAGTACACCCGAGCAGAGGTAAGGAGGGCAGGAGAGCTGGGCCTAGGGCAGACGGAGCCATCAACACCCCAATCCCTGCCACAGTTCTGCCGGTTCCAAATAAGGGGAACCAAATCCCAGACACCAGACCCAGGAGGCTCCTCGGAAGCTGTTCACCTGCACTTCACCTGCAGAGGAGACTGAGGCACAGGAACTGAGAAGAATGTAGCTCTTGGTTTCCAAGACGGGTGAGAGGCAGGGCCTGGAAGGCAGGGGCTACGTCCGTGGGATCCAAAGCCCTCTCCAGACCCCCAGCCAACACCCACTTGCCCCACTTTTCCCACAATGCTCCAGGAGTTTCTGATAAGGACACACGCCTCAAAACACTCAGGAATCTGGGGTTTGAAAGCCCATTGGCTCGGCCCAGCTACTCCCCAGGCCCCAGGCCCAGAGTGGGCAGGAGCTCCTCCCAAGGCTTGTGCTGGAGAGACCATGCTAGCACATACCTCTAAGGTTTGTGCCCAAACAAGTTAGAACATACGTCTCCCGGTTTAAAACCTGCAGGTTTTAGCTGAATCAGCAGGGTTAGTCCCCGAAGTTCATCTCAGGGAGATGAGCAAACATACTCCCCAGGTTCCAGAACACAGCCGCTCCCAGCAGGATTGGCCATCACCGCCAAACAGGAACAACAGCCTGAGCTGTGAAGGGGGGGCGGGGGGACCATGAAATACGGAGGCCAGGCCCTGAGATGAAGACGACGCTCATACTGAACATCTGCCATCACAGAAAGATGTGTCTTGAACATCAGCTAACATAAAAACAATTAAAAAGGGTCCCAACAACAGTGTGCCAGGAAAGTGGTTTTGTCTAAACGAAAAAGTACGCATGAGTGTAAGCGAAGAAAACATCTAGAAGGTTCCATGGCAGGTCGGCCCCCGGTGCGCTAAGAGTGAGACACTCCTTACTGACTGTGACTTTGCTCAGCACGCACGCTTGGCCTTCCACCTTCTGGATGAATCCCGAGACGAAACCGAATAAATCAGGTTCTACTCCTTCATGCTGCCCTGATACGTGAATCGTGAACTAAGGATAAGCCAGAAGGGCCTTTTCACTTGGTGACCCACCCCAGGGTTATCAAGCTTCTATAAAGAAACAGATGGCACCGTTTGGGGTCTCTGGG